TCCTGTACAATCATCCACGGTTAGTAGGAGTAGAAGCAGGCACGTAATGTAACAGATCTCACAATCTGTCTTTTCTAACGTTCCGTAAGCCGATGCAGAAACAAATGGGATGGAAAGCTGTGTTGTAAGTGGGGTTTGTAATTGCTAATAGTGTGTCATTTTTAATCTGTACAAGACACTTGTAAAAACAAGGCATTAAAAAGGAGGCACTGAGGGGAAGAGCATGCAGGGTGCGCAGCAGAATGGTGGCTGCACAGCTCTCTGTAGTCAGATGCACTCTTAAAGCTCGCTTGGCTCCTTTGTGTTTTCAGCAGCTGAAGTAAAGTGGACGAGTGTCCCAGTCGAGACTTAGTTGAGGATTCTCCTAGGATTGGAAGGGCTGGCTCTGGGTTGGGGTTGATGTTGGGGCTCATATCTCTTGCTCAGTTTCTTTTCCCAGCACTGTTTCCAGATCAAGTTGTAGGGTGCTGTTGGCGAAGCTTTCCTTGTGGGGATACATGTTTCTACCAGTAGCTGTTGTAGTTAGGTTGAGATAGAGGGCAGGCTTATTATTTATTTTTAACTTGGAATTAATTTGCTTCCTTCATCTGTGAATCCAAAAGCTGACTATGAATAATGAAAATCTCCCATTTCCAGCTTTGTTTCTTGCAATTCAGTCAGTTATTCCTGTCTTTATGAACTAGATGAAGAAAACCATGAAGTTGTCTGACTGGTTAAACAGAATTTCATTTTAATACTGTAAGCCTGTGAGCTGAGCTGCTGTAAATCCTCTTCACTTGTTCTTTCTTTGATTCTTTTTCTCTTATCTGCTCTTACTTACGGAGTGCCAAGAGCCTTTTTCTTTGCCATAGGTGTTGCTTTATACTGTAGAGCTTTAGTAATTGGTTTTACTACTTTGTGTGTACTCTACTCTCTCATTATCAAGTAGTTTTAAAATGGAAAAGATGGTTTGCTTGTTTTTACAAAAGCTCTTCTAGCTGTAGGCTTTTCTCCTCCCTTTGGTTGCAAATACTTTGATATTGCCATATGGTTTTATGTAACTCGATGTCTGAGGTTTGTTTCAAAAATAAAGATACTTTAAAGTGTACTGGACTTTAAAATCCTGGTTATTTTGGCAGTGATTGGGTCTGAGCTGGTGTTACGATACTAGGTTGGGGCCATCCTTCCTGATCGCACCAGTTGAGCAGATTCATGCCCTTTATGGGGGCTCCATCTAGTGAGCTGTTCTGGAAGACCTTTTTCCTCCCAGTTCTGAAGAACTTGGACATGTTCTTTCCAAGCACAGTTTTTAGTTACTAAATCTAATGTGCTTTTCTGCATTTTCTGCACATGTGTGAGCTGTAAAGGCCCTTTTCCTTTGGTGTGAGCTAGGAGTTGTAAGTAAAGCTGAGGGACTCCCTATTGGGTGTTAAGGCATCAGCTGAACAACTTCATACTTAAAGATGTGGCTCTGTGGACTCACAGATGTTGGGAGCATGGTTAAAGGCCTGATGGACGTGTCATAGCAGGAAAAGCTCAAGGAAGGTGGGTTGTATAGACATGGATGGCAGATAATGGCATGGATCTGGGAGGAAAAATGGTGATGGGACATAAATTTTCAACTGCTTATGGTGAAGATTTTGAGCTCTTGATATATTCCTGAGGCTGGGGCAGAGAGGGAAAGAGGAGGATGTAGAGCACTTGATGTCTCCACTGTTGCGTCTCTTTGAAAACAGGTTATACACCAGATTTTTGAGGAATGATGTAACAGGATGAACTCTGTTATGTGTGGGTGCAAAGATGGTTTAGTGAGTACTGACTTTGCTTTGATAGGAGCTACAATAAACTTGTTAGCAGTACCGAAGCTAATTGTCTTTTTTGCTTTGTTTCTGTATTGGCTATTTTGCAGTGTATTGCTACATTTTCCTGGCAGATGTTGTTTCTTGATGTTCTGTCCCTAACCCTTATCAAAATCACCCAAGAGAAGGGATGGATAAGACCTGGATGAAGGATAAGTAGGCAGAGGAGAAAAGTTTGAGAATTCTTTAGGTCAGAGAAATGTCGGAAAGGCTGAGAATGCACTTTGGGGGGAAAAATTCCAAGCCTGTAAGACTCACAAATTGCTTTGACGTTGGATGTTCTCTATCAGTTTTGACTTTGTTAGGAAATGTTGTCTGCCAGCCCCAGAGATCGAACAGATGGCGAAAGAAAAGCAGTTGTCTCTCCCACAACTATTTGTATGATATTGGGATTACTTTTGTAATTATTGGCATATTAGTAGTCTTGTTGAGTGTCTTTATGAACAAGTCTTGGCTCTCCATGGCTTCCATCAGCATTGAGCATTCTTCTGTAACAACCAGAATGAAATAAAGTAAGTGCAAGTACAATTCCTCTGTTAAATCAGACTTTTATTGAAAGAAATGAGGGTAATCAATCAAAGGTGTACAATGCAGCACATGCTTTTACTGCTGTATTTTATTAAAGGCAGCAGTCATCAGGGCTCTTCTTAGAACAGGTAAGGGACTTGCTGGAGAGGACATGGTAGATCATATAGGAGTATTGTAGGGTGTTTTTGTGTGGTTTTTGTTTTCTCCTGAGGCAGTGAATTTGCTGATGCTTTTCTGTGGGGAAGGAGTCTCAGAAGAACCACACTTAAATATATTCAGTACTTGCAAAGAGTGAGAAGTAGAGGAAAACCTGTAATGGCTGTGGAGAATAGAAAATCATGAGGTAGTGTTGATGTGGCTACCTACAGAAAGAGTTAGATGACCTTAGAGGCCTGTAAGAAATCTAGAGAGGGACTTTTTACAAGGACATGTAGGGATAAGACAAGGCAGAATGGTTTTAAATTGAAAGAAAGGGGATTTAAATTAGATACTGGGGAGAAATTCTTCCCTGTGAGCGTGATGAGGCCCTGGTAGAGGTCGCCCCAGAGAAGCTGTGGCTGCCCCATACCTGGCAGTGTCCAAGGCCAGGTTGGATGGGGCTTGGAGCAGTCTGGTCTGGTGGAAGATGTCCCTGCCTGTGGTGGTGGTGGGGGGCTGGAACTAAGTGATCTTGAAGGTGCCTTCCAGCTCAAACCATTCTGTGTTGACCTTGCTGGTAAATTAAGGGACATCTCTGCTTTCCGTCTGAATTTGAAAGTAGTGATAATGAGAATTAGCTTTTTTTTTTTTTTTTTATTGGGCAGTATCTGTTGTCTTCATGGCTCTTCCTAGTTGATTTCTTTTATTTGTGTTTGTACCCAATTGGCACAAATACTGTAGTTTCCAAACTACTTTCTATTTAAAAGTAACTGGGTTTACTGTAGAGAATTTGGTGTGTTTTGATTTGATGTAACTAGTGTTGCAGTAACTTGGGTGAGAAGTGGAGGGGGAGGATGATCGGATGTACTTTAAATATGGCAGAGTTCCACTATGGTGCTCACTGGAGAGAGATGGGGAAAGCAACTGTCCTACTTGCAGACAAAATGCAGTTAGCATGAAAGCAGATAATAAATCAGACTCGCTAAATTGGTCACAGAGGCTGATTTGTATTTTAATACAAATCAGCAGTGAGCTGCAGTGGGTATCTTCTGTTGAAAAATAGATGAACAGTATAACTTTTAGGTTAGAGTAACACAAGGTTCTTACAATAATGAGAACTTGGTACCTTTCCACAGAACTGTTCTTTGCTTTGGTTAAGACATTGAGGGCCATCTGGTGGCAATGGGATAGTTGCTTTCGGAGCCAAGTAGAGGAATTAAACTCCTGAATACACACACTTCAATACAAAACTACCTTTATGCTAATCTCACAGTGACAACATCTGTCTTGCTGGAGGTGGCATGGGTTTTGCATGAGGCATGTGATAGCTAATCTAGAATGGAGCAAGGCTGGTTATTTTGGAGTGCTTGAGATAAATGATGATTTCTGGTAGCAGTCATTGGTGCTGAAGTCAGAAGAGCAAGATCCAAAATAAATGTTCTTATTTCTGCTTAGGGGTGCTACTAAAATAGGTGGAGATTGATTAAAGTGAAGGTTGATGTAAACACTAAAAAGCCATGTTCGTTTGTACTGCTTCTACCTTCTCACTATATCTTCCCTTTAGGTAGTTGGTTTTTTTTTTTTTCTTAGAAATAGATTTTACTTCAGGACTGGAACTGTTTCCCACTTAAACTGTCACTTTAGCAATTTAGTATTATTTCTGGCCAATACATGAACTTGAGCCTCTTGAGTCATTTGGTTTCTATCAGAAAGAATGAATTTAAAAACATAATCTAAATTTCAATGAAGCGTTTTTTCCTTCTCTCGTTAGTTCTTTGATTAAGTGGAGATCTCGCAATGCATGACTAGGTCAAGCTTTTGGCCAGTGTGTGTTTGAGGTAATCAAACTGTTACATATATTGAGTATGATGGAAATGAAGTGAATTGGTGATGCAGAAATTAAGAGTTTACTGGAATAAGGGGCCTATTGTTCATTAATCTTTTGACAGCTGATTTATGTTGTGTCTTCTCTCTCATACCCTTTTTTGACCTGCTCTAGTTGATCTGTTTAAGGTGGCAAAGCTCCAAGTGTCAAACGTGCTGGTGTTTTCATTCAGGCTTTTCTTCTCTGCACTACCTGCTGCCAGGGCGGTTGGCAAGTGGAGTTCCTGTGTGGTGTTATGCATTTGGAATAATTCTGTGTTGGATGAACTGCTGTTTCAGTAGCAGGGTTATATTAACTAATTCCAAAGAAAGTATTGGATCTAGCTTTAAAGATGTGTATGTACATTCAGTTCTTTTAATCTAATAGTACGTTGGTAAGGAATCGGTGCTTGTATTTGGAAACAAATACAAGCCAAGTCGTGTGGGTTTCTTTGAGGGGGGGGAATGCTAGGATCTTTGTGGGTTACCGGTGCCCTCTCGAGGCGAAACGGGAGGATGCTGCAGTCTGACAGACACAGTGTAAGGGGAACTGCTGGTATCTGCTCTGGACTTCTAAATAGCGATCTCTGAGCCACGTTTGTAATCTGCGTTTGATGCTTTCTTGGTTTGTAGGTGAAACCGCCAAAGAAGATCTGCAAGGGAAGAGAAGCCTGAGTGAGAAAGTTTCTCTCTACAGAGGTGACATTACACTGCTTGAGGTCGATGCCATCGTTAATGCTGGTAGGTGGTTAAATGTTTCGGGTTATGTCATGAATGTCCTTTATAATGCCACGTTGCAAGTTTGAACTTTTCAAAGTTGCATAAAATTGGTATGTTCTGTGGAAATTGGTTGAAAAGTGGGGGTTTTAGCCTCATTTCTCTATGTTGCGTATCTGCTCATCCTGTGCACCTGTTGTGACAAGGATTGTTGGGAAAGGAAAAAATAATGATCTATGCATCTCTTGACTTGAGTAGCTGGGACTTCACACTTGGTATTGTAGAAGGCTGAATTAGATTCCTACTGCAGTACATTCTGGTGTGTTTTTATAAATCGAGCCATTTGTGGGCTAGATAATGTGAAAACCTTAACGATTAGGTGATAGAAAAACTGAATTTGTTTTATGTGGTTTGAATATTTGTTGTCTTGTAGGGAGATCATATTTGTCCTACAGAGTTCTGAATGTTTTGATACCTCTTCTTGCTTACTGGCTGTGTCTCCATGAATACAACATAAAGAACTGTGTGTAGAATCTCGTGACAAAAAGGGGGGGGGGGGTGTGACTCTGCAATTAGCTTGTGCTTGCATGAGGTTATAATAAGCTAATTTCTCTGGTTGGGAAAGACTATGGGAAGCTTTACTCTTACATATATGTTCAGCCAAATCTTGCATGTACTCCCCACCCCAAAAAGAATACAGCCTGTGTGTCTTGAGAATGGAAGTTTTTTCCTCCTTAGTATTTGGCTGGCATTGTCCTTAGCTCTTAGGAGCATGGATTTGTTTTCAAGAGTTTTTGTGCTACTAATTTATTGGAAGGAAACATACTGTAGTTATCTTCTCAGTGTTAGAATAAAATGTCGGTGTTGGCCAAAATTGGTATGCTTGTGTGGAGCTACTTGGCTCATTTCTGTAAAGAGTAGAGAAATGCTGGCTTGTACAGTGTGGAAGTTAGTAAACAGGCTCTCTTGGATTGCTTGATGTTGTTCTCTCTTCATGGCTCCCTAACTTTACAGTGGAGACAAGCTAGTGGGTTTTGTGAAGTACAGGTAGAATAGCTATCTCAAAATGCATTTGTGCACTCCAGCAAGTAATGAGGGTGATATTTGCATGCAAAGGTTTTTAATCTTATAGTTAACTGATGCACACAAGTCTTTCTAAATTACAGACAAAACAACATGGTAACATGACCCTCTCCTCACTGGGATAGTGAGGCCTCTGAAGCTTTAGTCCTTTAATTTCCCTCCTCCATATTCTATCAAGATGACATGTCCAGTAGTGCCTTCATTGACTTCCTTACTTTATCACTTTACAGTAACTCATTATTGGCATACTTCTCTCAATTTATGTTTAGATTCTTGGTTCATAGGCCTGCCCTGAAATACAGGCCAGAACTAGTTGCAGATTAGCTCTAGAACAGGAATACTTTGATTTTTTTTTTTATTATTTTGTTTCTTGATTCAGGGGGGCTTTCTCTCATTCTCTTGAGATGTCCAGAAACATATATCCCGGACTGCCAATGGCCTTTATCTGCCTTTGGCAAAAAGGAAGAAGTTGTTTCTACATGATGTCTTCCCGAAGCAGACTAAAGAGAAGCTGGATCTGGGCTGAATGAGAGATTCAGATTAGATGTTGTTAGAACAACTCATTGGAAGGGACAATGATGCTTCACTGAATTGGGCTGATAAATAGCAGCAGTCCTAGGGCAGGGCATTGGGTGTGGGAGGCTTTTTGAGATTCTTCTGTCCCTCTTCTGTAATCTTTTTTATTTCCTAAAGCACGTAATACATTAACTATTATGAGTTGTTAATATCCTTAGATTAAAATGCTAACCTTTAGTTACCTTTAAACGTGAAATGTTATCTGTATGTCAGTGCAGTAATTAAAGTGTAAGCCTTTGATTTGCTCATAGTTTCAGTGTTTTTCTTTTGAAGTTAAACCTTCTGGACATATTGAGGGATAGCTGGAAAGCCAGATGAGGAGGAGGAGGGTATGTTGGTTCAAGTTCCATATTAGCAAAAACCTCAAATTGCTCCACTGAGACACTGAGATCTTTTTTTGACCAAAGTTTAAGTGAAATTGTAGCATCTCTTGGATGATGGTATCTTAAAACATGTTTGAGCACTCTGATGCTTTTGCAAATAACTTTGTTGTCTTCTGTAACTAAAATTTGTCCAAGCCTCAAGGAGAGAAAGCAAAAGCTAGTTGCAGTACTAGCTTCTGTGTGTAAGTTGAATAAAATGCAGCTCATCAAACATGGAATATGAGACAGACTTATTAGAGGTAAATCTGTGCAAGTTCTTTTCATGCTTAAAGCCTTTTGGCTACCTTGAATGTTAACGACTGACCCTAACCCAGGGCTTGCAACTGGCAGGAGGAAGGAAGAGACCCTCTTGAGTCTTCCTCTCTGAATTTAGCAATTCCATTAACTATCTCCTGTAATAAATAATTTAACATAGAGCAAGTCATAGCCAAGTTAAAGCCCCAGGAAGATACTTAGTTTGAATGTTTTCATTTACATTGACTTGTGTAAACAAAAACATGCTATAAATAAAGGGAATAGTATAGCAAATTCTGGGGCTGTGGAAGGGTTCCAGGTGGTTCAGGTTGTTTCCAGATTTGGATACAAATATATTGGCAGTTATATTTTTGAATGCTTGCCTGAGGGGTAAGCAAGACATCAATGGATTTACTTCATTACACAGGGTGTGAGACTGTGTGGTAACTTGCCTGTGGCGCTGACTTTTACTGTCATGTCCTCCTTTGGGCATCCAGATAAACAAGTGTGACTCTTCAGAGTATGGCCCAATTTATTTCTGAGCTGTACTACACAAACACTTCTGCTAAATTTAGTAACTTGCCTTATGCTCTGAATTCTGTTTCCTGTTAAATTTCTCATGTGCAAGTGAGGCAGTTAAATTGATCACTGAATTTCTTTTGTTGGGCTAACAAAGGTGTTAATGGTGATCTTATGTAGCTAAATACCAAGGTATCACGGCTGAGCCCTGATACAAAAGGTTCCCCTTTTTCCCTGGGCTGTACTAGGCAAACTGAATGTTACTTCCAAAAATGTCTTACAAATACTTTATGCTGGAAGAGGACAACTATGGAAACAGTGGAAATAAAAATTTCTTGTTTGCTGTCAGAACCGCCATGTAAAAACAGCCACTGTGAAATCATGTATGATGAGAATGCAGATCTCTTTTTCTAGCTTCTGAAGAGAGTTAACCTGAGATGCAGTGTGATGGAGCAGGTAGCACCAAAAAGGGAGCTGATGTGCCATTTTGCTGAAATCTGTGTCCGTTATCTGTCCCTGTAAATCTGTTACCTTTACAGAATGCTTCCCTAAAACCTCCTTGCTACTGACTGCATTGCAAACTCTTATTAGTTTAACTTGATGTCTTGCCTAAGGTGTCCTGTTTAGATAATTTTCTTCCCCCCATTTTTTTTTTTAAGGATTCAGGTAAAATTTGTATAAAAATCTCCACTTTTACTCCTATTTTCTTTTTCTCTCTTTTGGTGTTACGCTCTAAGAATGTGAACAGGCACTCCTTGAGGCATGTACTTCATAAATCGATAACTGGCCTTTTGAACAGATTAAATATTCCTGGATTTCACTTCATTCTGATGCCAAAAGTGCTTCAAGCATCTGGAAGCCAAATAACCACTATTAGTCTACTGGTGTAACTCCTAGGAACTGAGCTTGGGGGTGTGTGTTTAGGAGAGGGAGATGGGGCTATTTAATCCCTCTGCTGCTTTCAACTCTTCTAATACAAGCTGTATTCATAGTGCAGGCATTTCCTGATAGAACGCATTTCTGTGCAGCAAATGGGCTATATGAGGAAAAATAGTTTCAGGTAATACTGGACATAATACTGGAATGCTAAAGCCACAATCTGTAATATCCATCCTACTGCTTTGCCTGCTCCCTCTACCTTCATGTTGCTGAACTGCTTTCCCCAAGGTATGAAGTGATTCAGGGAGTGAGTCTATCTGCTGGTGGTTAATGTAGCAGCAGTCCAAAGTCAGTCATGAATGTCCCAAGTTATGACTCAAAACCAATTCATTCCCTTTGAGTTTGCTTGTCTGCTGCCTCTGCTGATTTAAATCTGGGCAGTATGACATGATGGTCTCATGGCTTGCTGAGGCAGATGTATTAACACTGGTCCTGACTGAAGGTTTCAGGGCCTATTTGAAAACAGCGTTAGTTCGTCATTCATGGAGTTCATTCTGCTTGCTTTTAGGCTTCTTCAGGTATGTTTTCTTCATACATTTGACAATCCCAAACACAGAAATAAACAGTAAAAGTCACAAAGTTTTGAAAAATAAATTGTGCAATACTTACAGCATCAGCCAAGTTGCATGTAGTTAATTTTTAATTTAATCTGCATTTTTAATAAATATAGGAGGGAAATGTTACTTACATCATATGCAGCAGTTTTTAAAACTGAAATAGATCAAGGAGTTGCATTTTCAGAGTTGGTGAGATGTAGGTCTGTATATCTGGTATACCTTAAGCAGCAGTTGATGACTGACCTTGGGTATTCATTCACTTCTCTGTTATCAAATCTTACTGCCTCAGTTCTAAGTTAAAGAATGTACTGTGTTGTGAGTTTTTACTAGGAGCAGGATCGAGGGGAAGTGATTATGTGGGGGGAACAAAAGATTATCCTTATTTTTATTTGATTGGGCAGAGTAGGATGGCTTGCAGAGCACAAGAAGAAATGTTATTTCTTCTTAGCTTTGAAAAATACTGGATATCAGTACAGAAGTATGGTACTGATAGTGGAAACCCTTAATCCACAGGAAAAAGGAAGGTGATCGCTTTTATCCAAGTAGGTGTTTCCCATAGTAACCTATAGTGTTGCTTCTAAATTAGCAATCAGATGATTGCTACAGTTATAGCAACTAGGCGGCTTCTACTTAAACTCCACTGGGGTGCTGGAATAATCTCTAATCCTCCCAGATCTGGGGAGAGACTGTCCCTTTCTAAAGGGAATATTTTTTCTATATGAGAAAACTTGTG